AGGAGCCCTGACTCCATTAGCTTTTCTGTGAAATTGTTGAACACCTCATCAACAATCTCAACCCCAAAATGATCTCGCACCACGACTTCAGCCCAGCCTCTTACAAACAATGCATACTTCTCAATGTCTTGCTTGCTTAACTGACGAGTCATTGGGCGAGCTATTTCTTGAATCTGCTCAATCTTAAACCAACTTTCTTTCTCTACTATGGCTATGACCTTTTCCGACGATGGGTAGTAAACTGGAAAGTTGAAGGAGTCTACTCTGGCTTCATCCACCAATCCCTTCAATTTTCAATGTATATATACGCATATTCATGAGTCACATATAACTTTCAAGGAGTCATTTATTGTGAATAGAGACAGAAGCATACTTTTGAGTGAGGGGGAGTAAATTTAAAAATTTTTCAGAGTTATAATAAGTTTGCATCAATATAATTTATATCAATTTTTAATTATGAGGTGTGTGATTTAATAGTAGAATTATGTATATTTTTAGTCACAAATATAGAGATTGATCCATGATTTTTATGTGCAAAAAAATACCAATTTCTATATTAATCACTAATTTTATATGTAAATGTACTACTTATAACATATATGCCAAACTTTAAATTAATTTAAATATATTTTATTATTTTTAAATAACATACAAACCAATACCCTTAAATAAATAATATAAAATAATAGAAAAAATGTTAATGAGTTGGATTTAAAACAAATTATAAGTACAAAAAATATTTTAAAATTATTTATTTCAATAAACTTTAACTAAAATAAAGAAACTAAAATAGCATATTTTTAGAATAAGAATAAAGGTTATATTAATTTTTTTTGTAATACTTTATTAAAATATCTTTATTTTGAAGTGTTTTTCACCTAATTTTTTGTGCAAGTTTAATCAGAAATAAATACTAATATGATATAAAATATAATTTCTTTTTTAATATAGTTGCATATATCAATAAAATTTTAAATTATAATATTAAATCCAACTGTTGAATTGATCGAATATGAATTGTATAAAAAAGTATAATTAATATATAATCTTTTTTCATACCTAGATAAAATTATTCATTTTAAAAATTGATTACAAAAAGAGAAAATAGTCCATTTACCTAACTCTTAAATATTTTCTTTCAATTCAAAATGGTTGTTTTAACTCAAACATCGAAAACATATTTTGTACTACATAAAAATTGATAAACTATATTAAACATTTTTCAAAAGCTGAGGAGGGGCAGCTCCCCCACAGCCTTGTCCTGCGGTAGCCCGTCCCTGATTGTGAACCAAATGGGTTATAATTACTTTTTAACTGTTGTTCTACGAGTTTTTCGGTTTCTTACTAATTTTTTTCCTAGTTTCAATCCATTAACCCCATCAAATGGAGTACTTATGTTAATAACTTAAACGAACAATTATAGGGAGTACCTCTTTTGCCATGTCTATGAGGCTAGAGCCAAGAAGCTCTAAAATTGCGACTAAAGTGCACTTAAGAAGGTTTGCTCCATTTTGTGTGCCGGCGATTAGGAGGGTCATGAATCCTCCAGGCACGACCTCCTCCGCTCTAGCTTTCAAGAATGATTCAAAATCATTCGCAAATTGAGCAGCATAAGCCTCTTCAACTTTTTTGGAGCTTCCATAGAAGATCCTCCCTTTGT